CCGGTACATTTGTATCACACTAAGGTGTTCCGCACAATTGGGGGTGTTCTTGGTAAAGTAGTAAAGATTGATCATCAAACCGCATCTCAAACAAGGGGGAAGTATGCGCGCCTAGCTGTAGTGTTGGAGCTCCAAAAACCATTATGTGCCGGTTTCACCATTCGGGGTAAATTTCAGCGGGTAGAGTATGAGTTTCTTCCCGACATCTGTTATAATTGTGGATTCTATGGCCATGTCGCGGTGTCTTGCCCTAAGCGCCAGAACCCCTAGAGCGATGCCGAGGGGCAGGCTTCGGATGCGGCTCAACAACTGAATTCTCGAGCGGGGGCCAACGTCGACGGAGGTGCGCCAATGAATAGGGCTGAGGGAAGCAATGAGAGTAGGGCAGACGCTCAATCCTCGACTGCTGGTGGTGGCTTATATGGACCATGGCTTATGGCTAAGACCAGTGGCCGTACCTTTCCTCGGAGGACAAACGAAGGACAGGTGCGCGGCCAGCCGAGAAGGGATTCTGCCAGTGGGTTGGGGTCGCGATTTAATATTCTGCAAGAGGGATTAGAGGAGGAAGAACAGCTCCTGCCACCACCGAATCTAGCGCTGGCAACAGACCGGCAACAAAGGAAGTTTTTGCCGGGGGTTAAGGGGTATACTAATGGTGGGCATGATGTCGGGTGGCGCGTCGTTTCGTCTCGGAAGAAGAACGGTCAAGTGGTCTCGAATAAGAGCACGTCCCGAGGTTCTCATGGGGCAACTTCTGGGGTCGTAGCTACGGTGGGGGTTCATGCTAGTGCTGGGCTTACAGAGATGGTTCCGAAAAGGCATGGAAAGGGTGTAGCTGGCTCGGTTTCAAGGGCAATGGAGGATACTCTTCCTCAGAATTTCTTTTTTTCATCTCGTGTCACTCACATCGCTTCTACGTTAGATGTGACGAAACATCAGGTGGTACAAGTGGAGGATCAAGCAGTTCAGGTCTCTTCGGATGAGGTCGTTTTTTTGGATCCTGGTGACCCTCGAATGTTAGTAGATAAGGAGTGTCTTGCCGACCGGCCGCCGGATGTAACACCGGACCAATCAGGGAGAGTGGAGCCCGTGGAGGATGCGGATAATATGCCGGGTTTAGAGATGTTGGATGAGGAGCCTGGGATGCAAGTCCCGAGCTCGCTCTGAGGTGTGTGTTCTCGTATTTTCTATGTTTCCCATGAATATTGTAACATGGAATGTGAGAGGCGCTGCGTTTGAAGGGTTCAGACGGGCTTTTTGTGCTCTTTGGGACCAGTATCGTCCAAATATTTTCGCTCTAGTTGAACCACGGGTTAGTGGTGTGGGGGCGGACAGGTTCATTCGTCGTAGCGGCTATGCTCGGTCCTTCCGAGTTGAGGCTCACGGTTTCTCGGGTGGGATTTGGGTGTTATGGAAAGATGAGGTTGACCTCCAGGTGATTGACTGCAGCCGCCAACATGTCCACGCTTATGTCAAGGTGGGGGATATCTCATCCGAGGTGACCTTTGTTTATGCTAGCCCGAACCCTCGGATCCGTCGGACTTTATGGGATTACTTGAATGTGCTGGCTAGGAGAGTGCGTGGACCATGGATTATAGGCGGTGATTTTAACTGTTTACTCCGGGTGTCTGAAAAGCTTGGGGGTTCAGTCAGGAATTGCAATGTCAGTACCGCGTTTGCTGACTGGATTTTTAATAATGATCTCCACGAGTTACGTACGGATGGTGATCAGGCGACGTGGTTTCGTGCGGGTCTGGCGGAGAAATTGGATCGGTGGATTGACAATGAGGCATGGATGGACAAATTTCCACAGTGTATGGTGTGCCATCTTCCACGCGTGCATTCAGATCATACTCCTCTTATGGTACAGACTTCTTCAGGGGAGAAGTCTCGCCGGGTTAATCCTTTTCGTTTCCTTGCGGCCTGGCTTACTCACGAGGGTTTTGATGAGCTGATCTCCAGTGTTTGGACGGGGGGTGGTACCTACGAGTCGTTGGTGACAGATTTCTTGTCTGCGGCCAAGGATTGGAATCATCATGTGTTTGGAAACATTTTTCACCGAAAAAGGTGCCTCATGGCTCGGATTGGAGGGATACAACGAAAAGGGAATGTCCACAGCAACCCCTTTCTCCGACAATTAGAACAGTGACTCAGGCGGGAGCTAAATGAAGTCCTTTTGCAGGAGGAATTATTGATGCTTCAGAAGTCTCAGCGGAATTGGTTATTATTTGGGGACTGCAATACAGCCTTTTACCACCGGCTAGTCAAGCATAGGCGCCGGTCTACTCGAGTTGTGGTGCTTCATGACGAGGCGAGAGGGATGGTTGATGATCCGGGAGTCATGTGCAGCATGGCTGTTGACTTCTTCAGGGCCATTTATACAGAATCGGCGAGCCCGACGATTGGCGTTCCACTTGGGGACACATTTCCGTCAGTGGAGGCTAGCAGGTTGGCCGCATTACAGAGGGATATTTCAGCCGGGGAGATTTTTCGGGCCTTAAGTAAGATGGCACCCCTAAAAGCGCCCGGCTTCGATGGGCTTCCGGCATTATTTTTTCAGGAAAAATGGTCTCTCGTCGGCCCTTCAGTTTTTCAGCAACTTATGGAGATTTGGAGAGGTGGTCGGGTCCCGGCCAGTATGAATAAAACCTTGCTCGTGTTAATCCCGAAGGTAGCCAATCCGGTGTTATTGAAGCAATTTCGGCCCATTAGCCTTTTGAACGTTGTTTATAAGTTATTGACCAAAGTATTGGCAGAAAGGATGAAGTCAATCCTTCTTTCTATCATTAATCCGGCACAGGCGAGCTTTGTCCCAGGGCGTCACATTACAGACAATATTGTGGTGGCCCAAGAGCTTATTCACTCGATGCGTCCTATGAAGGGGAAGAAAGGGTTTATTGTAACACCCCACTTTGATTTTAAAGAAATCTCGAGCTTTCTAAAAACCAGAA